ACAGCCAGCATCAGATAAGGAGGGGAGTTGACGAGAGATTAAAGCCAATATTCTACAAAGAATCAAAGAAATTGTAAGAAGAAATGTTGTCATCTTATTGCAAAAGCTCCATACCTTCTCAGTGATTGCTCATGGGCAGCTCCTCACAGCAATGACACCTTCTTCACAGCACAGCCAACAACTCCAACTCCCTTCTCGACCAGCTAACCCACTCCTTTATAGCATTCCCCCCACAGAGAAATAGTTGTACTTAGAAATAATAATTATTTCTACTATTTCTTTACTATCTAAGAAGATATTCTACTCTTTCATGGTTTTTGTTAAAGAAATACCAAAGCTAAGAGAACAATTTCAAAAAGGAGCTGTAAGATAATACTTTAACTAATCAGAAGTTTGTGTGCATGAATTTGAAAGATCACTTGATAGTACTCTACCAATTCCTGAAACCTGTTTGGTAAAGTAATAATAGCTGTTAAGAGGATGATAGGTCTCAAACTGACTGAATACAAAGTAAAGGCAACAGTTAAATAGGACTCACACTGGAAATGCATTGAAGTAATATTGGGAGCAACATATCTGGAAATAAAATGAAGTTCTAGATCTGTAACTGGGATAATATACTCACATTACCTTTATTGAAACACTGCTGCTGCATTAGCATTTTGTGAGTAAAAGAAAAAGTGTTAAATATGCTAATAACAGAAAGTTGAAAGCCTATCTTTGAATCATTGTAAGTGCAACTTTGTATGTGGCTTTTAATAAAAGGAAACATTTCAACATGCCATAGTTCAGAAGTTAGGCTGTGTTTATCTTGGGCTAAGAAGGCATCACAGGACAAATTACCCCAAATTCATTTTGGGAGAAAGAGCTGAACATAAAAAGCCTCATGTATAAGGGCTTCCTCACTAACTCTTTCATTTCAGCTTTGCTAATTCAGGATAATATTATAACTTAAGGAAGATGTAATTTCTATTAATACAAAAACAAAATATTAGAGTTTAGAGGAATAAACAGACCAGCCACTTAGGAAAACAGGACTAAGGAGAACTTGGTATTAAGTACTAAGAAGCTACTAGTGTGCTGTGCTGTCTTTGGAAAGTTATTTTCTCCCAAATTAATTTCCTGGCTGTGATGCAACAAAATAAAGACAGGGATTACTTGCTTTTGTAATCTGTTTTCAGGTCATCAAATAAAATTATATCTAAATACAAAATATTTGGCAACAAAATCTATTTGTTGCCACAGATTAAAAACATATGATAGAACATATATTAACAAGAAGAAAGAACCAAGACTGAAGCATTTCAGTATGCATGAGACTCAGTTTGTATTTTTGTTGAATTAGGATCACAATCATCCATTGCAAATTAAAGCCAGTGCTCCTCTGATTTATCAGCCAGCTACACTGGCCTATTAATGGCTACCCCATTTCTCCAAGATTATCTCTTTTTCTAACAAATGAGTTAAAATCTTAAAAGGTAGTCAAAAATAGTAGAAAGCAATGCCCACAAGTCTCTGACACAGTGATTTAGGCTCTTATTTTGATAGCAGGAATTATGAGCTCCAAACTCTTTGCCTAGGAATGCTTCTCTGTAGGAGTATCCTAAAACATATTGTTTGTAAATTGATTGCACTTGATCCATCTTGCTTCCAGGGCACATCTGACACTCACAAAATGCCCTTGTGAGAAGAAAGGGCGAGTTATCTATTCACTGAGACTCTTGCCTGGCCTCACCACTGCTAGCTACGAAGTAAAAGAGAATTACCTAAGAGCCCTTTTGGGAAGAAAGGATACAGTAACTACAATAGGAAAACAGTCACCTAAGAAGGGGAAGAGTTGTATCTCTGAATTCTGAATATGGGGATTACATAGTAAAATGCCTGTGAACAAGATGAAACATATATAAGACATTTTTTGCTGAAGATTTTATTATTAAAGGATTACTAAGAACATACATGTGAAGAACAAAATAAAAATCCATGCCATTCCTTTTGTCAGCCTTTATTTATTTCTGTAACAAACTTATTTCTGTGTAATTATTAAGGACTATACTGATAGATTAGTTCAGTTGGAGTTATATTATTTATCCTTAACTTGAGTTTTAAAACATTCTTTTCTTCTGAACAATCAATTTTTCTGATAAAGCAAAATATTTTCAACAGTAATTACAATGAGGTACTGTCTGCCTAAGTAGACAGGACAATGAAGGTTGTATTTGAAGTCCACAGGAAGATTTCAAATTAACAAAAAGATTAAGGATGACAAAGTTTAATTTCAGATGTCATGGTCATCATAAAAATTAAGTATCCTCATTTCAGTAACTTTCAAAAACTGCAGATACCAAATGCTGCCATCATGCAATATTAAGTATTTCCACCAGATGTCTCCAGCATATTAGTTTACACAGAAAGCTACATTCAATTTGAAGTGTAATGCACCAAATATAAGTGTAGTATATTAAAGAAGTAAAGAGATGAAAGCTGCAACTAATTACTTATCTGTTTAGACATGGATATTTTAGGGAGTTCCACAGTGTTACCTAGGCAAACACCAATTTTTTTAACTAACATTTGGGCTAAATATGATTTTAAAAAATAGAAAAAACAGAGCTCATAGTTTTCACCTTTAAGAGGCACTTCAGAACATATCTTGATACCCGTATTTTCAGAGCAATATAAGCTTGTATTTGGCATGAGTGACTTTTGGATTACTGAGAAATATTTTATTTGTCTTATAAAAACAGGAAGAGTTTGCAAACCAAGCTGAAGACAATTCTGTTTTCAGGACTCTCTGATATAAGCATGGAGTAATCCAGTTATTTATTAATAGCCTTTGTGGATTACTCCCACTCACTACCTTGAAATGTTCACCCAGATTCTGTCAGTCTGAGTCAGAACACAAGCAATGCTCTGGCACATACACAGTGCCAGAAGAGAATTCTAAGGATGAAAGGGAAACGAGACTGCTAATTCTCAGACCCACATTTCACTAAGTTGTGCTTCAAAGGCATCTTTACATGACAACTCCTACAGAATCCTTCTCATTTGTCTGTGCATCAAAGTAGCACTTGGTGTATCTGACAGACACGACAGAGCCAGCCTCCCCTTATAATCCCCTATATGTATGAGCAACTACACACGTGCACAGCTATATTTAACTCAGGAAACCCACTCACTTTTTCAAAGTAGGCTATGCCTGAAAATGAGACTCAAAAGTTGCTAAAGGGCTAATGACAGAAGGTACATATTTCCTAGGGATCTGAGGATACTATCCTGGAAGCAACCTGGGTCACATGCTGGATTACATAAAAGCCACAACCATCCTTTCAAAGGTTCTCAATGTATTTTACACAGGTTGTTAGACTGGATTTTGCAGAAAATGGGGAATGCCTCTAATCACAGCAGATGGGATGGGTCAGATAGAAATCAATTACAACTTGTCTTCTAAAATGATACTTTCATTTAACCAGAGTTTTCAGAACAATAAGCCTATAGTTTTAAATTACTAATATGATAATGTATAGGCACCTAACATTTTCGTTTTTATCAAAGACATTAAATTTTTAACAACTGAAAGAAAAAAAAAGCATACCAATGACAAGTCTTGTACTGAGATCTTCAGCTAATTTACTAATATTGTATGGCATCTCTGTTTATTATTTATATCAAAGATATCTTTGAATAAATCATGTTTTCAAAAACAGCACAAACTCAATTTTTTTTTTCAAAGAAATTCAAGTGCTGGTCTCTAAGAGCAATGCTAAAGCATAACTGTTTTCTGGGCTGGTGACAAAAATAGCTCCCTTAAAATATGTAAATTTTGCCCCCTTATTTCTACTTAGTTTCCTTTAAAAAGAAAAAAAAAAAAAAAGAAAAAAAAACCACCAATTTAAAACATGTGAATTTTCCCCCCTTATTTCTATTTAGTTTCCTTTAAAAAGAAAAACAAAAAAACCAAAAAAAACCCCCCAAAAAAAAAGAAAACACATAAGGCCATATACTCAATTCACAGTATGGAAGCAGATGCCTTAAATTTTTACAACCCAACAACTCTTCAGCATATCATAGCATGGATTTAAGCCTTCCTTTCAAAATTAACTAATAAACGTCACTAGTGCGTCAATGGGCTCAAATACCGTAGTGATATTCCAGAAATAGTTTGGTTATCTAGAATTTTAAAGTACAAACCAAAAATAGCTGAGTGTTCTGAGCTCACTATCCATGAACCCTGAACTGAGACAAAGTCACACAGCAACACTCTCCAAGCATACAGTGCAGAGATATGGCAGGTCACACATGCTTCTTTTTTCCTTTTTTTTGGTCTGAGGGAATTTTTTTGGCAAGAGGCAGAGAGAAAAGGAGCATCACTCTACATTTTCTGAAGTACCATAATGAATGGGCCAAAGCAGTGCAGAGATATGGCAGGTCACACGTGCTTCTTTTTTCCTTTTTTTTTTTTTTTTTTTGTTTGGGGGAATTTTTTTGGCAAGAGGCAGAGAGAAAAGGAGCATCACTCTACATTTTCTGAAGTACCATAATGAATGGGCCAAAATGAAGATGTATAGTATCTATAAGCATTTACAAAGATATCTCAACTGCATCTGTCCAGAGAGTGACTACTTTTCCCCTCAACTACATAATTTGTCAAACACTGCAGAGTTTATGAATATTTATTATAAGGGAAATGCTTTTCTTTACTTTTAATTTTGCAAGCAGATTCAACTCACATTAAGATTTTACGAATAGTCAGGGACCACAAAAAGGGCTTGCAAGCCCTACATGGCTCCCTACTTGACAATGATGCACATAAAGCAGTTTTTATTAAACAATCCTTCTAAAAAAAAAATCCACCACAGTACACAAAAATTAAAATCTGTTAAATCAAAATAGCTTGTACTGAGCAGTGCACAAGTTTTTCTAGTGACTCTAAAAAGGTCATACTCAGTTTTTAATGCAGTTGCTTTCGATCATGTTTCTTAATTTGAAGAACTGTACAATACCTGTCCAGTATATGCAAAGTCCAGGGCTTGTTTTAAACCAAGGCTTGTGACACCATGCAAATTCACCTCATCAGCTTCACTCTCAACCATGCAGAGACTGAACATCGCCTATGAGAAAAAACAGAAATGCCATTAAGCAATTTTGGATATGAATTCCAAATAGAAGCAGCCTTGAGAGTTAGAATGAGATCTATACCAAGTTTTCAGTAACACCACAGCAATCAATCTTGTAACTGAGTCTTTTATAATTAAATAAATACAAAAACTTATTCTAGATAAACTGAGATAAATCCCTTTCTTCAATCTATATATACTTCTTAAGTAATTCAGGTGAAATCAGTGAGAACAGTCACATAATAAGGTATCACTCAAAAAAGGTAACTGGACTCTGGAAAAAGAATAATTTACACAAGTGCCACTAAAAGCAATACTTTAGGTATAGTGTCATTGTATTTAAGAAGGAGCAATAACCCATACACAATTACTTGAGAAGGGGCAGTTAAAACAGTCTTTTATAAGCAATCCTTTTCAAATAAGCATCTCAGACTGGAACATGAGCAATGCAGTAGTCAAATTATTAAATAAAGAAATTATGGAGATGCAGACACCCAAACTTACAATCTCCCCTTACTTGTTATTGCCTCAGTTTCTCGTATAATGAAGTCTAAGCTGAAGACAGGCAAAGTGCTGTGGAATTTCCCTGAATATACCACTGAGGAGAGCAACTCTCCCTTTCATCCAGATCATTTATCTTCAGTGTCTCCCTGGAATGAAGCAATCGTACTCAGTCTCTTGAATCCTTGTGAGAATCCTTTTCTTCTCATCTCCATTAAACTTCTTTGCCCTTCACTCTTCTCTCCCAACCTGTATTCCTGCTCCACTACCCCTGCTTACCACTCCTTCCCTACTTATCAGCCCATTCTCCATTCTTTGGCACCCTCCCATGCTTTTTTAACAAAATACACCGCTCAGAGTTTTTAAACAGTAAACTGTGAACAAATAAACTGAACAGTGGCCATCTGCCACTACTAAAGAAAGTCTAAACTTATCCCCAGTAGGTTTTGTGCTATATTCAATGTCTTTAGGGAGGCTACCAAACTACACCTCGGGGAACTCCAGCAACAAAGCACTTCTCATGGACATAACCCCTGCTACCTTCTTACTATATTCTAGCTGATACCTGCTGAGACAGTCAACCAGCTCAATGGATTTCATATGTGCAATCTGTCCACCAAGCAGTACTGAATTTGAAAGGAAAAATTAAGCCCTACCCTCTCCAACTATTTAGCACATAAGAATGACTACACCATCTTTACCAAACTATTCCGTGGTTCACCTAAATTCAGATGGCTTCGAGAACTGAGTGCTTCCTGCAAATAAGTAATTTCTTCAGAAAATATTAGTACTTTTCATCATTAAAACACCATAATTTGGCATAAATCTGTTTCCTGGAAATCATCCAATATAAACAAGAATGACATCCGTCATACAGTCATTCCTTCTGATTTTGCAATTTCTGTTGAATTAAAGTGATACCAGGGCTTCTCCCAAACTGGCAACAGAAAAGAAGCAAGAAATAGTTTAAAAGCTTTACCAAACAAATACAGTAAGAGGAAGCCATGAAATATACTTCGGGAAAAAAACCCAAAAAACTTCTAACAAGTTCAGCCACTTTTCTTATCCATTAAAAATGTAGAGGTGGATATTTTGTTGTCATCTAGTAGCTAGCTAATGTCAGGCTTCAGAGCTTGCCAGGAGCTGCAAGGTACTCATCAGCCACCTGCTCTTTGGAAAAGCTGACCTGCAGTTGCTGTCTGGGAGAGATAAGCTTCAATTCTCAGAAATGCACTACTAGCTAAATATTTTGGAAAATACTCCTTTCACACACCAATTCCTGAATAAAGAGTAAAGTCTCAAAGCAACACCTGTCTGCTGAGGGGTAGATTTGCTCTATATGCTCAACCCCGTCACTGACTGCCTGCAGAAAGGCTGGGAATGCTGAGAGGTAAAAGATGCCCTGTGCCCTCCAACCATGCTACATTAACAACCTGTCACTACAGACCTGTGCATAGGAACCATCTAAAGACAGTGTGGCTACTAATACAGCTCTTATTCTGGTCAGGGGATGATATTCCACGCAATGAGTTAAGTTTACAAATACAAAGAAACACTTAACTGAATCCTATCTGTAAACAAGGAATCATTCCTATATGACTTCTGTGTACACTTACTAACTTCACCTTAAGGAGACTATTTTAACACAGAGATTCTAACATGGTCTTTACACAGGGTTTATTACTACACCTAACTTAGTGAACTCAGCAGGATCAGACACTAACTCGGTTGCTGTCCATAATCACCCACAGTGCACCCAGAATAAGAAACACAGCCTCCAGCAGAGCTTTGACCCCTGCCAACTTGCACTCTCTCAGGCCATGCCCAGATTGTGGTCCAGAAGATAAGCCATGGCTGTTCCAAATAGGCAGCACAGACAAGGCCAAAGCATTCACAGAATTTTAGCCATATTGTCACAATCCATGTTATGCCAGTCTTTTTAGGACCAGAAAACAGTCTTTTTAGGACCAGAAAACAGGCCCTCATTCACCTTATTTATAACTACAGATATGGTCTAAGAATGCAGTGGGCTATCAGAACTGTAGCTTCCAGTAAGATACAAAACTTAAAATGTGGCTTTGTGGAGAATCATAGAACAGTCTGGGCTGGAAGGGACCACAAAGATTATCTAGTTCCAAGCCCCCTGCCATGGACAGAGGCACCTTCCACTAAACCATCTTGTTGAAAGCCCCACCCAACCTGACCTTGAAGACTTACAAGGCCAGGGCACCCACAAATTCTCTGGCCATCCTCACAGTACAGGATTTCTTCTAATATCTAATCTAAACCTACTTTCTCTCTTCCACTTAAACTGAAAGCCTTCTCCTATCGCTACATGCCCTTATCACAAGTCCCTCTATAGCTTTCTTGAAGATTCTCTCTACATAATGAAAGGACACACACCCTGAAGCCTTCTCTTTTTCAGAGAGAAGGCTGAACAGACACGATTCTCTCAGCCTTTCTTCATAGAAGTCCTCCTTCAGTTTGGTCGCCTTCTTCAGGACTCACTCCAACAGGCCAAAGTCCTTCCTACACTGAGGACCTCAAAGCAAGATGCAGCACTCCAGGTGGGGTTCCATGACAACAGAATAGAGGGGGAAAATCCCCTCCCGTTCCCTGCTGGCCACACTGCTCTGGATGCAGCCCAGAACACGTCTGGCTTTCCAGGCTATGAGTGCACATTGCTGGCTCATGTCCAGCCTCTCATTTCCCATCACCCTCAAGTCTTTCTCAGGAAGGCTGCTCTCCATCTGTCCATCCCCCAGCCCGCCTTAATACCAGGATTGCCTGGACCCAGGTGAAGCACGCACTTGGTCTTATTAAGTCACATGAGATTCCCATGGGCCCATTTCTAAAGCTTGTCCAGTTCCCTCTGGATTCCATCCCATCCTTCAGGTGTGTTAACTGCAATTCCCAGCTTGGTGTCATCTGCAAATCTGCCAAGGGTGCACTCAATCACTTTGATTAAGGTATTAAATAACACTGGTCCAAATACAGACTCCTGAGGGACACCACTTGTCACTGATGCCCACCAAAACTCTAAGCCATTCACCTCTGGAAGCAACTGTCCAAACACTTTCTTCTCTATCTACCAGTCCCCTCACTGAATCCATCTCTCTCTAATTTAGAGACAAGGATGTTGTGGGAGACTGAGTGAAAGACTTTACAAAAGTTCAGATAGATGATGTCTGTAGCTCTTCCCTTGTCCACTAGGGTAGTCATACCTCAAATATTCTGTGAAGGTTCTTAAAACTACGTAGGAACTACATCTATTTTTCAGGAAACAAGGCCAAAGAATTTGATCAAAAGACAAGGCCTGCAATGGTCCTCAGACAGTTCACATTCAGCTGAACTTGATTAGCCTCCAGGAAAGTAGTCTCCCACTTAAATGAACTTTGTGCTGCTCACTGATCCACGCTGCCTTCACCAGCAGGCAAATTTCCTTGTTAGCCTGACAGTTTTTGAGGTTTAATCCAGCATGAAAAAAAAATCTGCTCTACCATAGGCAGAAGTTGAACTCAAACTCAGCCTTTAATTTGCACTCCTGTACCTCTATATTGTAGTTTCAGCTGTAAAAAAATGGACCATTACACTGTGATTTGAGACTACACCAATATCTGGAGAATGAGTTACAGTTGAGCTGTTAAACTCCAGTTTCAGATGCATCCCTGAAAACACTCTAAGGTTTTGTGAGCTTATACAGATCCATCAGTCATGCTTTTAATACAAGACTACTAGCCTATTTTATTTTTCCCTTGGGTACATTAAAAACAAGGCAATAAGATAAATATCTCAGGTAAATGCAGAAGTGACAGACAAGAAAAACAAATTAAATACAAAATATTTGGACAAATGCACAACTCAAAGTCAACTCTATCTGAAAAGCTATCCAATTTGACTAAGCATGAAATGTTAATAATGTTATTTATTGGCTTAATTCAACAATGCTATTATACTTTATTTTAAAACATTTCACTTTAAATGAAATCTATTTGATCATGCCTCATTTCTGCTTCAAGACCTTTATGAGACTTGAAAGTATAAGTTGTCACTGTTATCCAAAGATCCCTTTTATAATAAAACCTACTGATGAGAGGCCTTACAATTTTTTCTAGCCTCTTAATAATGCAGATCTTGTTCTGCCACCCAATCATATAATTAGGCAACACTGTGGTAAATAGATTGATTGTTTACATTCTGATATTTCAGTTAAAGTTTTAAGCAAGTAAATCAAATCCCCCAATGCAAAGTAAATACAATCCACTTGCCATTTTTTGGCAACTGCTCCAAAATTCAGCTCTCAACATGCTGACACAAATGGATGTATTCCATTTGTGGAATTCCACCTGAGGTCACACTTATTTCAGATGCTATGGATTTGGGTGGCCTTATTTTTGTGAGGCAGGCAGATAGTTTATTAGCTCCTCTTTTTGGAGGAAGGATGAAATCAATCCTCCATTCTTCTTCTAATCTTGGCCTGAAACAGAAACAAA